GAGCACCACGTTCCCGTCGAGCACGAGAAGCACGGATCGACGACGAGCACCAAGTTCCCGTCGAGCACCAAAGGAGAGCACCAAGTTCCCATCGAGCACCAAGTTCCCATCGAGCACCAAAGGAGGGCACCAAGTTCCCGTTAAGCGACAGTCAGAGAGAGAGAGAGAGAGAGAGAGAGAGAGAGAGAGAGAGAGAGAGAGAGAGAGCACCGACCACCGAGCACACGCGCACCGACCACAGAGCACACACACGCGCACGTTCCAGAAAGTGGAGGTCGATTGGAGGGGTGGCTGGCAACAACAATGTGGGTGGGCGATTGGAGGGTGGGCCGGCAACACCGAAGCGGGTGGCCGGGGCAACGAAAGCAGTCCGGCGGGCGATTCGGCGCTTCCGGTACCAACCGGCGACCGTGGAGGAGTGGCCGGGGCGGGTCACGATTACGGGCGGACGGGCGGGCGGACGACTGGAGGGGTGGGCGGGCCTGCAATTCGGCGCCTCCGGTAGCGACCGGCAGAATCTGAAATCTGACATCGCACGGCCCGAATTGCAGGCCGGTAACCACCGCGGACAGCCCAGATCGCAGGCCGATCAGAAAACTCCGCGGTGGTTACCGGCCTGCGATTCGGGCCGTGCAATATGACGTTTAGCAGTTATTATAGTAGGTGTAGATAAAGATGTCGATGTAGATTTCTTTCTTTCTTTCTGAAAACTAGCCTATATTCTTCTCTCAATATGTCTCCCACTACCTACCTCTACACTACTAGCTTAGCAGGGAACACTGGCGTTATGGGTTGGATTCCCGGCCTCCAGATTTTTCCCTCAGCATATCCCATGGGCTGTTCTATGCGGGGAACAGTAAGTACCCACGCTCCTAACACCTGACGCGAGCTGGAAAGCAGATTCACGTACTTCCACAACCAGCCAGAAGGGACAAGCCGACTTTCTCGGCTGGTGAACCCGAAGCATACCACACAGGGGGTCGTGGGGAATCGAACCCACGACCTCCTGTCGACCACTTACATGCTCAACCAACTGAGCTAGCCCTCTTGGCATAGCGTATACTTACAGTTATTTCTGATTAACCCGAAGCATACCACACGGGGTCGTGGGGAAACGAACCCACAACCTCCTGTCGACCACTTACGTGCTCAACCAACTGAGCTACAGTCTTCCCCCGAACAAAACGCACGTATGTACTATTCAACTTTCCCTGGAAAACTCGATTTTTTGAAGTAGCTCCTGAAAGTCCGAATAGTACGCACGTTCAAATAGTATGCACGTGTGTACTATTCGAATAGTACGCATCTCTCTCTCTCTCTCTCTCTCTCTCTCTCTCTCTCTCTCTCTCTCTCTCTCTCTCTCTC